GATATAAAATGATTGAACTACAAGGTGTCTTTAGGTTTTAGTCCATAAACAGTTGATTCCCAACTCTTACGATAATGCACACCAATAAAAGAAATAAGAAGAAAAGTGGCCTCACCCTCACATATGCTTCTTTTCATAACCCTGTGACTATTTAAAAGTAGAGTCTACTGCTCCTAATACAGTACTCAATGTTAATCTTTTTATACTTGTGGTTAGAACTTGTGAAAAATAGGTACTAAAGCAGACCATTACCTAATCTCCTATCATGTATTATCACAAATACTTGTGTCTGGATTTCTTATACCAGCCTACATATTCAAAATTAGCCTAGATAACTTGCCCTCAACATATAAACAAACACAAACATAATAACTAAACAATTGCTTCAGCTAGATTGTACATGTATGCCAGTGAGTAATAATTGTAGTTGTCTGATTAGCAACAAACACACTGAGTGTACATGTATGCCAGTGAGTAATAAGCATACACAAGACCTCATACACAAAATTTATCTTTCTGAAATGTTTTGAGTTACACCACAAAAAGTTATCAGAGAACTGCATATCTTAATTATACAATCCAAGCACTACAAACCACTAATGTCAGCTGATGCACTGTCGAAATAAAGAACTTAAGGCTGGTATATATTACATCAGAGCAAAGTTCTTTTACCATCAAAGTAACCAGGCAATGTCTCCAGTGTAATAACAACGAGCAGATTCCTGTTACTGCCAAAAGTATATTCCCTATTAGTGGCAAATCCAAGGAGTTAATTCGCCCCAAAAATCCCTACCATAAAAGTCCGAGGAGCGAGTCTGCCCTCGGGATTTATGGTCTCCGGAATGCACCACTCCTGGGGATTCCCATGAGAAACATTATGCTGATTTTTTCATAAATACATCTGATTTTGGGGAGACGAGAGGCGTGTATGCAAACAAGTCCATGTGCGAAAACATCTAGGCGCTTTGTTGGTGTCTTCCTTTGTCAACAGAGGCGCTGGGAAGGCCTGAACCGTTCACACCCATTTCAACAAAGTCTCGTCTCCTAAGCTTCATTTTGATTGTGTACTTACCTAAGTAAATGTCACCGAAGGATCCACTTCCTATCTTCCGTCCAAGACGGTACTTGTTGCCAACCCTTAACTCCATCCTGCAAGAGAAGGACGTAAAGAATCATATCAGTGCTCTCCCAGCCACCCAAAAGGACCAGCCATCTTGGAATCAACAATAACAAGAGCTCTGGCTGGCTCTGACATCGGTAGACATTTCGCAAGTTATCTCCTTACCTGCTTCACCAGCACCTCGAGTCTCCACACACAAACAATATCGAATATGTATACTTTTATCTCATTATTGTATATATCCTCTGGAATTCAATATAGCGTCAGATTAGGTGGATAAATCCGAGAGCTCCTGAGCCACTGTCACCATGTTCACAAGGGCCCGGAGGAACACTGGCTCAGCTGGCAATAGCGAGAGGGCAGCACGCACCGGCCGCGCCCAGCCACACTGCTCCTTTCCTTCCCCTGGCCTTAGTGCACGTCTTAAAACATTTCGTTGAGCAAACTTTTCAACTCTGTCACTCCAGGCATGTAGTAGAAATAGTGACTCTGGGCAAGGAAGGATGTATTGGTTGTGTTGGACGTGTTGAGATTTGTAAATATGTGTTCTTTCGTGTGGATATTCTCTTAACATGAATCCTTGAACGAAACACAATGGAAGTGAGGCTCAATGAAGAGCGTTTGGCAGCAGAAGCTTATACTGAGGGAAACAACTACTATCAGCTGATTTCTTCCCGACTTATTTGAGTACATGGTGTATGTAATGGTACCAAAAATCAAGATGAAATTAAAAACAGAAAAGGAAATATCATCTACACTCATAGAAAAACGTTCATCGTGTCAAAATAGTTCACAAAAGACGAGATGTTACAAACACTTCATCCCGTATATTTTAAGGCGGCAACATTCATCGAGCCCGACTTGGCCAGTTTTCTTATATCTTACATTATACACGCGATAATTGATAATAAATGTATTAAAGAAATAACCAAGCCGTAACACTGATCATAACGTATCCGCGGTAATGGTCCTCACAATTCACTTTTGATACGGAATCAAATATTAAGGCATTGACAGAAGTAACAGTTATCAACAACAGTAATATAGTCCAGCAAAAAATATATCAAACATACAGAAATAATCATGCATTGTGTGTAGATTCCCCGTTCCTCACTTCCCCCTCGCGCCAGAGGACCTCACACAGGCCTGTCACTTTCTACACCCACCATCCAACTTTCTATAACGCACATGTTTCAAGAAACAATCACAACACATATTTACGTACATCTTAATATCAACACGTGATCAACAATTCCAAGAGCCGCCAGAGCGAAGACACAGATGTACACACAACATCCACAGGCGGGAGCACAACAGGCGGGACCTCCAACCACACACAGCAAGATAGCGACTCTGGCCACCCGCGGCTGTCTGAGTCAGTCCTCCACTCTAACCCTCACCCACACATACGCACGTACACCCGTCGGTACGTACAAGCGCACACACAAACATCACATGCATGTACGCATGTTCTGTAGCCACCTTGCATATGGAGTAGTTATTTTTTAATACTAGGGATTCTGTTGTCTATTTGGATTAGTTCTCACGACAAAACCTAGAAATGGAATGTAAAGTTTTCCGTAGTAAATAGTTTCATGCCATTCGACACTCGTTAATGACCTGATAGTATTCTAGACTCACACGCTGCGAGCTGGTGTGTACATATGTGCACCGCGAAGGTCTGCCCTCGTGCCGACCATACCTGGGCCCACCCGTTCTTTCTTTTTTGTTTCTTTGCTTTATCTTAACCACAGAAAGATATAATATCGCCTTTCTCGTGTCCTTATACTCAGCATTTGAAGGAAAATCATTGACGTGCAAATAAAAATATCAACAGGAAGTAAAATGGGGTAATCTGCAACAGTCAAGGTAATACTGGATAACAGGGGACAAATTAATGTTATACACTGCTTTTACACGCGCCCTTCAGCATGTTACTGCGTTATGTTGCTTGCGTTTTACCCTCGCATTTAGCAACATTTTAAAAACCTCACTTTCCTTTTTGTCCCCATGCAATTTGATATTACGTTTACTTCATTCAAACACATCATGGGCATACTTATATTTAAATCCGAAGTAGAAGAAAGTCCATCTTTTGCTTCTTCCACATAGAGAAAATTTCTTGCAAACTCTCCCTCTACCCCAGCACGCATTTGCCATTTCAGCAATCAGAGGGCCAGTGGGAGCCCGCTTGGCACTCTCTATACCAGGCGCGTTAGAAGCTGGACGTGGGCGAGGTTCCGGGTCAACATTACATTACACAAGGTCGCGAAAGGTAAGACATTTCCGCCTGGCCGGAAGATGGGGATTGCACTATATCCTCACCTGGTGAAAGTGGATATGGTGGCTAACTTTTCCTGGGATAACTTTGTTTGTATGTTTTCTATTTGCTATAATGTACGTACATATATACATTGGTATGCGTGAAAAATTTGCAGTTTACGTCTATTCATATGTGCACTTCTGAATATGTATATACAAGCTTGACGATTTTTGTTTTGGTCATGTACTTTATAAATAAAGCATACTTCTATAGTTATATTATAACGATAGTTTTCCTGAATGATCTTCTTATAATAATCTCCCTCACTTCTTAATAGGCAGAAAAAAAAATTTACAACTACATTCAGTTTCTTCTATACGATATGAGCATATATACGACGTAATGAGAGAGAGAGAGAGAGAGAGAGAGAGAGAGAGAGAGAGAGAGAGAGAGAGAGAGAGAGAGAGAGAGAGAGAGAGAGAGAGAGAGAGAGAGAGAGAGAGAGACAGATTCAAACTTCTATACACTGCTTGTTGGTCCGGGTCGAGTAAAGTTGTAAAACAGCACAGTGTTTGCTACCGCTTCCTTCTGTACATCTGGTAGCGTTGCGTCTTAGAAGTATACGTAACAATTCGATGACTGATAATATATACTTTTTTTAACCGATAACCTGATAAAAGTGTGTTATCTCTGTCGCCTGTGGGACATACCCGTTTGCTGCTAATTTACAAGCGCTTTTTTTATTAAAAATACATATAGAACGTTATCTGTTGATTATTTAATGAACATCATATATGCCGAATAACAACAGCGTCTGAGTGAGGTATACCCTCTTCCAGGAAGCATATACGAGTATGCTACCTGGACTGAGTAGAGGATGTGTGAGACAGGTGAGTCACTTGAAATGCGTGTAGGCGGCGAGGACTCCGTGTGTGTGTGTTTACGTTTTGTGGATATATGTTGACGTTTTTGTTGTAGTGTCACCTTGCTTACATCGCCCACATACTAGCCTTTGTCATCTCCCAAGAACCCCAAGAAAATTCATGCGCCGAAGAGATTCCATACACAGGCAAACAAAGCCAGCCTTTGAACCCTGGAAAACCGCCCTCCTCCCACACGGGCCGATAATAATGGGCGGTCGAGGAAGGTGCGACTCGAAAACTGTTTACGGAGGATTATCACTGCAGTGTCACGACCGGCAAATGGGTGTCGGCGGATTGGGCAATGACTCGGGCTGCTGAATGTGGTGGATCTTCTTGCATTGATGTGAGAGTATGGATTGTAAACAGGCGGGGGAAAGAGACGGAACAGGAAGAGGATGAGGTATTTGAAAACGAACCCACACTCTCTGTCTCTGTCTTCCCCCCTCTCTCTCTCTATCTCTCTATCTATCTATCTCTATCTGTCTATCTATCTATCTATCTCTCTATCTCTATCTATCTATCTGTCTATCTATTTCTATCTATCTATCTATCTATCTATCTATCTCTATCTATCTATCTATCTGTCTATCTGTCTCTATCTATCTGTCTGTCTCTATCTATCTCTATCTCTATCTATCTATCTCTATATCTCTGTCTGTCTGTCTCTCTCTCTCTCTCTCTCTCTCTCTCTCTCTCTCTCTCTCTCTCTCTCTCTCTCTCTCTCTCTCTCTCTCTTCTCTCTCTCTCTCTCTCTCTCCAACACACACACACACACACACACACACACACACACACACACACACACACACACACACACACACCACACATACACAAAGAGAGAGAGAGAGAAGAGAAGAGAGAGAGAGAGAGAGAGAGAGAGAGAGAGAGAGAGAGAGAGAGAGAGAGAGAGAGAGAGAGAGAGAGGATGGATTAGCAAGCGTATACACATAAACACACAATGCTACGAAACGTATCCATGTTGACAAATGTAGAAAAGGTATGAATGAGACTGGATATCTTCACAATACAAGAGATGTATTTGACCGGTATGAATGCTACTTTAACATAACACATTTATAATAATGTACGTATAAGATCAAGTATTACGAATGCTTGTAGGGATATTACTAATGTTACTCTAACAAACATGCAAACCAAGGAAAATTAGCGAAAGAGCAGTGTTACAATACCTGTCATTCGACAATGGTATTATGAACCATAACGACGAAGCGAGAGATGGTAAACAGCTCTGCCGCGGCGTTCTTCTAAAGCTTCATGTATACTCAAGCACGAATGTATTGATCCACCTGTTACCTGTCTCGCTCGCACAGTACCTGGGATAAACTGGACGCGGACAAATCCTGGGATTTACGGGAAACTCGAAATGTCTGAACAATTGTTTACAGCCATGCGTGTGAGAGGGGCTCAGGTCATTAAGTCCGTTTAAACTGTCATTTGACAGGTAAAAACACAAACACATGCGCATGTCCACTATGATACGTTAATAGTTTTCAAAGAAACATGTATACTTACATATACTGACTTATATACAAACATACGTACACACGCATGCATATGCATACATAATATATATATATATATATATAATATATATATATATATATATATATATGTATATAATATAATAATATACATACACATAAATATATAGCATACACACATACATATATATAGTATATATATATATATATATATATATATATATATATATATGCATAAATATTTATATGTATGTGTATACATATATGTATATATACATACATATGTATTATGTTGTTACATATACATATATATATATATATAATATATATATATATATATATATATATATATTATAATACTATATATATTATATATATATATTACGTGTGTGTGTGTGTGTGTGTGTGTGTGTGTGTGTGTGTGCATGTATGTCATATATATATACACACACATTTGTCTATGTATGTATATATATGTATATATATATATATATATATATATATATATATATATATATACTCTCTTGGTTAATTATTCTCTGAAGAGAACTCGTGAAGGTGCGAAAAGTTGCGATATAATTTCATTTTCTATAGTGGCTGTTTTCATTTTCATTTTTGTGTACACGTTATCATGTTGTGTTTATGTTCATTATATATATTATGTATATATATAATATATATATATAATATATATATATATATATATATATATATATATATATATACACACATAGACATACATATATACATGCATGTATACATACATATATGTATTAGGAGATTAAAGAAGGTGTTAAAGGAGATTACAAATTATGAAATCCTGATCTGACATGACCCTTGACTTAATCTCGAATCCTGACCTGACCTGACCTTAGACCATAAGTGTCTTCGTCCGTCCTAATCAGATATGGGTGGAAGAGCCAGACTTTGCCCATTATTATTCCTTAGTCAATCTCTATTATCACAAGTACTGAGCTAGCATGTCTTATGTTATCCACAGAAAAAATACACACCTTTGATACTGGGCAATCTAAGCCAGACGTCCTACCACTGGATTTGCCATTTGGTCTTCTCCATCACACACACGCTTTCACCGCCCCACGACTCTGAGCTGACCAGGGATACTACTGTGAAGAAAGTGAGCTAAAAGGAAAGGTGCGCATTATAGTAATTGTAGCTTGTGCATTAGGGCTAAAGAGAGATAGTTGTAGATATGTTTTTGGTTTGTTCCAGTATCTCAGATTCTAAGAATATCCACGTAACCATTCAATTATGTCATTTGACTTTCGGTCGGATATCCGGATGACTCCGACGAAACCAAGAAAAATGCTAAGTATGGATTCTGGCGCAACTCTCCGGGAGACTGAAAACACGAGAGTAGCAAATGCAGTGGTAAAGTGTATTGTGACGATTCATGGATATCATGAACTATGATTATACAAGAAAAGATATTACTGGCCTATGTCAATGGATAACGTTGTCCCACGAACATGCAATATGAGAGCTACTTGATTATTATAGTAGAAGTTAAATACCACGGATCACTAACTTCTACAAAGATAATCCGAGCATCACATAGAATGATCCACTCAACAGCGCATCGCGTACCAAAGCAAACCACTTTTAACGCCATTCGAGTCAGAAAAATTCCCGGGGACAAGTTCTAGGAGCAATGAACCACGCCCGAAAGTC